GGAGGTTTGGGTGGGAAATGAGGAGACATTTCTGCTCAGCAAGAGCAGTCAGGCACTGGGACGGGTTGCCCAAGGAGGTGGTGGTGTCACAGTCTCTGGGGGTGTTCAAGGAGAGGTTGGACGTGGTGCTTGGGGACATGGCTTAGTGGTGACATTGGTGGTAGGGGGATGTTGGACCAGATGATCCTGAAGGTCTCTTCCAGCCTTAATGACTGTGATTCTACACACAGTGAGAGCACCAAAGCGGCTCCTTTCCCTGCCCTCAGCACTCCGGCAACGCACAACACGGCTCGAAGACACCCTTCAGAGCTGGACCTCGAACCTCCCAATGAAACCAATGCTGCAATAAGCCAAGCACAGCTCAGGACAGTCTCTGTCTATTTCTCCTTTGCTACCAGCTCCCTCCAAATCGAAATAACTGACATATTTTGCATATTTCTCTAATGACTCTGTTACACCAGCACTGAAGGATTAAGACCAAGGAGCAGCAAACGCATTCCACTGGTTTATTAACCGGGTGCTCAGGTTTCCCAAAGGCCGCCCTCCAAGTTGGAAGCCAGCAAAAAGGGTTGCAATAAAGGGATCAGCACTGTGCTGAAGGGTGAACAACAGGCATCGAGGCTGCAGCAAGAGCACCCTGGCAAGCTTTCCAGGGCCTTGGCCCAGCCTGGTGTTTTTACTGAAGGATGTTTCATACGTTCAGCAAGACAAACCCAGCTCCACAGCACATTCAGACCCCACCTGGAGCCTGTGCTCAGCTCTGGGGTACCAGAAGGACAGGGAGCTGTTGGGGTGAGTCCAGAGGAGGCCACGAGGATGCTCAGAGGCTGCTGAGGAGCCAGGCTGAGGGAGTTGGGGTTGTTCAGCCTGGAGAGGAGAAAGCTCCAGGGAGACCTCAGAGCAGCCTGCCAGGGCCTAAAGGGGGCTGCAGGAGGGCTGGGGAGGGACTCTTGGGCAGGGGTAGGATGAGGGGAAATGGCTTTAAACTAAAAGAGGGGAGATTTAGATTAGAGATAAGGAAGAAATTCTTCCCAGTGAGGGTGGTGAGGCCCTGTCCCAGGCTGCCCAGAGAAGCTGTGGCTGCCCCATCCCTGGCAGTGCCCAAGGCCAGGCTGGATGGGGCTGAGGGCAGGGGTCCCTGCCCATGGCAGGGGGTTGGGATTAGCTGGGCTTTGAGGTCCCTGCCAACCCAAAGCACTCTGTGACTGATCTGCCTCAGCAGAAGCAAACCCAATCTCTCACCTCCCATGTCCAAGCACAGCTTCCCCACTGCCTGCAGCCTCCTGGACTGAGTCACTCCCCTGTCCCAGCCCACACACCTCCTTCCAGCCACCCCCTTCCACCTCAACCACCCCGTCTCTCCAGACAGCAAGCTGAGTACCCGAGCCGTCAGCATCACCCACGTACAGATAACATCACCAGCCAGCCTCCACGATGGCACTGTGCTGACCCGGCACGCAGAAAAGGGACAGTCCCTCTGCAGGGCACTCCCTGGTTAGTGACAGAGAGGAAGAGGCGCGACGCCAGCAGGAACAGAGCATCTAGGACAGGATTTCTGTGCACACACAGAGCTATAAGACCTCACCCTACACCGTCCTCCCCAGCCGAGCCTTCCTTATCGCAGCCCCACGTGGTGGCTGCCCCAGCCCTTCAACCTGGCCCGGAGGTGACATCCACCTGTCGGCGAGAGCTTGTGTGTGGGTATCACTGCTGCAGCCTTGCGGAGCTGAAGGTGCAAAGAACTCACTGCAAACAGTAAATATCTGCTTTTTTTTTTTTTTAGGCTCTTATCACAGAGGGAGCTGCACTATTTCCAGTTTGCAACTGGACTGGGATGGCCTACTTCTTCTAAATTGAAAAAAACAAAAACATAAAGGTTGTAGTGTAAGAGGTGTAAAAGCAAGAAGCAACCAACCATCGTCATCACAACAGGTTTCCACATCCAAGGAGCATGCCAGACCTCAATAGATGCCCCCAAAAAGCCTCCACACCTCCACACCCAGCCTGGCAGCAGCAGAACTCAGAGCACAGCACTGGGCTCGTCTTTGCACAGCACCTGATGGCTGGCAAATGCTCATCACGTTAAACTTCCAGCAGTCCTACAGGGATCTGCAGGCACTTGTATGGCTCTAGAAGCTAGAAATACCTTCACGTGGACCAGACAAACAGCACTGCTCCAGGACAGCCCTAGTAGATCAGGAGCGCTCCAAGCACTGCAGACCCCACAAACTCCTCAGCAGCACTTAGAGCCTTCCAACCTGCTTCACAAGGGCTTTTAACCCCACCAATTAATCCCTAAAGCAACTGCACAGAGCCTTTCCCCCTGTGAATCACCTGGTTATCAATCAGATGACTTGCTGCTATTTAGCTCACAAGCTCCACGCCACAGCAAACTCCTACAGCATTCACACTCCCCCCTAGCCAGGGCTATTTTTTCAAGTTTTTTAGTATTAAATCACAACCTGAATGCTCAATCCATCCAACCCCCTTCCACCCAGGCTGTTTACAAAGCATCCCACGCAGCAAACTGGCCAGCTCCTTCCAGGATCTGGCCCGCGCTGCCGGGCATGGCCCCAGGCTGCCCGGACTTTGTCCCGTGCCATTTCTTCGTCACCCAGCCAGATTCCACCCTGGGTTTCAGTTTGGTGGCAGCTCGTCCTCCCCGATCATCTTGCACAGTGGGGAGGGCGAAAGGAGAGGAGCTTTGGCCGAAATAGTCATGATTTTGGGGTAAAATGTTAGCCAACAGGGGTTTTATCGCAGCGGAGGGCAGGCCCTGCTAGGGATTCTCATTAAATCCTGAGTCACTTGGTCTCCCCTGACATTTGTTTGAGGATTTTCCAGGGAAGGGAAAAGAGGCTGAAGAATGCATTTTGGAGCCAAAACAACCTCTTCTGTGGCGTACAGGTACCTGTCACCCTAAAAGCCTCAGCACCTGCAGGTCCACCCCTGTGGGTTGCCCAATGCTCTAGGGACCGGTGCAGGATGACATCCAGCACCACATCCCCGTCCCCACAAGAAGATGCAGGGCTTGAGCGTGCACCTCCTACACCCCACCTCACCAAATGCTTCTCCCCAAACCACTGCAGCAGCGGGTAAGCCAACTTTGGGCCAAATTCCTCTCCACTACGACTCATGCTGGGACTGCAACCTGTCTGTTTAAGCCAAGGGAGCATCTCAGCGCTCTTGCTCTGCCATCCTGTGCAGCCCATCTTCTGCAGGGAGCAGGCTTTGAAGTGCGAGGCATCTATTTTTCGGTCTTGTGTTACTGACGGGACAGGGATTTGGTTGGAGCCCAGTGGCATTTCGCAGGTCGGGACAGACACGCTGCCCCCGTGGATGCTTTCCTGGAAGGATTCCCAGAAAACACCCGGTCACCTTCACCTTGCTGGAGCTTAGATAGGAAAATAAAGTCTGGGGATTCGGGTTCGGCATCAGCGGGCCATTTAGAGCTCTTCTCAAAAGGCTGAAAAGTGCCTGAGGACTCCAAGGAAAAAAAAAAAGTTGAATTCCATATCCCCCTTCCTATGGCTCTATAATGCGTTTTCCATCTCGCTGGTGCACAGCTGACATTCTGCACATTGCTGTGCACATTGTGCTTGGCCGCAGCTCCGTGCGGAGAGGGGAGTGGAAAGGCCAGAGTCCAACCAAGTTCCTGCTGCCGTCGGGCACCAGCGGCCCCAGCTCCCAGGACAGCAGGGACGCGGGACACGCATCCTTCTCCCGTGTTGGACCTCAGGAAATGTAAAAAAATCCAGAGATTTGGAGAGATTTGTCCATCTCTACACAACACAGGCTCTCCATCCCAAATGAAAATCCAGGCTACATCTCTCTGAGCGAGCTGTAAGGGTCTCCAAAAAAAGAAACACACTGCCCCTCGGCACACGTAGCCACGGCAGAGTTTCTGACGGAGATTTAAGACTGATGGAAAAAAACTCGTGGTACCGAACCCCATTTGGGGAAGGGATGTATAAAAGAGCCTTTAAAGCCGCAGCCCACCAGGCTGGCAGCCCGTCCAGCCACGCATCCTGCCTCCAACAGAGGAGCTTTTACAAGCCGGGAAAACTTCCTAAGGCAAAGACTGTGCCCGGCTGCAGAGGAAAGCCCCAAAATCTCAACCCCCTTCTATTACATGGTCTGGAAAGCAGACCCTCAGATGCAGCTATGCCAAGATGCATTTATTCAAGCCTTGAAACTCCCAGTGTCACCTAAACTCCGTATAAACCCCAAATCTCCAAAAAAAAGACCCTGTTATGTCGCATTCCCCATCCTCAGCGTTTTGAGAAAGCCTTTTGAGGGGTTTCACCCCTTGCACCGGCAACGCGGGGCCAGCCCCAAACCAGAAGCAAGGTTTAATTGCAAAAAAATTAATAAAAAATGAAAACGCCACCGGGTTGCAAACCGGGAATTGGGGAGGAAGAGGAAAAAGCAGCAGATGAGGGGAAAAAAGGCTTTTTCTGGGTAAAATGGGGCCGGCGAGAGACACGCTCACTGCAGGGTGGTGGGTGGAAGGCTTCGTGCTGAGCCTTGCCTTGCAGCCAGGGCTTTGGGAGCAGCTTTTTTACCCCGAAATGAAACCCATCCTGCTTTTCTGTCCCCTATAGGGCTGCTGTAGGACAACCGTGTCGGGCACCAACTTGGGGAGACGGCTGGCGGAGCCAAACCCGAGCAGGCTGGAGGAAGGGGACACCAGGACCAGGTTGGGAACCCAACCTGCTGCCTCTAAGGGGACATCCCGGAGGTGGGGGGGTTGTTATAGGGTGCCCAGCACCCACAACCCCCCAAATCCCAAAAGTGCTGTAGACAAGCAACACCCCTCCCTTGCATTGCTAGAGGATGGGGCAGGGAAAAACTCGAAATAAAACGCCTCCAGAACCAGACCCGGACACAAAACCCCAAAACCGAACCCGCGGAGCCAAACCCCGACACAAAACCCCAAACCCAAATGGGGCAGCGCGGCTGCAGCCCCCCTCCCCGGATCCCCTCCAGCACAGCCTTACCCGTCCGGAGAGCGGCTACCCGCGGGGAGCCATGCGCGGAGGCTGCGAGCGCTGCTTTGGCACGGCTCGGCACGGCTGGGCTGGCTTGGATTTGGCACGGCACGGCTCGGCTGGGCTGGATTGGGTTGGGTTTAGCACGGCTGGGTTGGATTAGGTTGGGTTTAGCACGGTTGGGTCGGGTTTGGCACGGCTGGGTTGGGTTTAGCACGGCTCGGCTCGGCTCGGGCTCAGCTGGGTTCGGCTTCGGCTCGGGCTCGGCTTCGGGTTCGGCTCGGGCTCGGCTTCGGCTCGGGCTCGGGTTCGGCTCGGCTCGGCTCAGGCTCGGCTCGGTTCGGGGGGGGGGCGGCGCGGGGCGGCGCACAAAAGCGGGAGGAAGCGGTGACGCGCTCGGGCGCCTCCGCCAATAGGGAAGCGGCCAAGCCCCGAGGCCACGCCCCCACCCGCGCACCGCCCCGCGTCCCGCCGCCAGGGGGCGCCATTTTGTGCCTCACCCCCCTCCGCCGGGGGGCGCCATTTTGTGGCCCCTTCCCCGCTGAGGGGCGCTGGGGGTTGTGTGGGGGTGGCAGCCCCGCTGGGTCCTCAGTCCTTCAGTTTCTTCAGTTTTTGGTTAATTTGGGCTAGCAAGGTGTTGTTTAGCCCTTGGGGAGTCCAGGGGGTGGGCTGTTGAGGGAGCCGGTTGAGGTTCTGTCGGAGTTTGGTGAGGCGGGGGGCTGTTGGAGGGGTGAGGAGAGACGGAGGTGAAGCCCCCTCATGGAGCTTGCAGCAGGGGGGACAATGAGAAACTGCTTAAACTGTGTAGCTGTCTGCACACAACCAGGACATGAAAGGATTGCTCTTGTCACTTAATTTGCTTTTGCCACTTTAGGGGGGCTGAGGGAGAGCAGACGCAGCCAGGACTGAAGGACCCCCAGCCCTTCCTGGGCTGTCAGCGATGCCCTGCACAGCGACTCCAGGCTCCTCAGACAGCCTCGGGGCTGCTCTGACTCACACCCACCTGCCCCAAGGCTCCTTGGTGCATCCCGGTCCCTTTGGGCTTAGCCCTCGAAGGCTTGAAGGCAAAACAAGTGAAAACAAGGCCTGAGCCTCAGAGATGATGCGAGTGGGGCCTGAGGTTTGCACTAGAAATCACTCACGCTTGTGAGAAAGGCAGAGAACTCTCGCAGACGATGGAGAAAGTGAGTAAGAGTGTTTTGCTGACTGGTTCCCCGTTTCCCCATTTAGTAAATGCGTTGTGGAGAAGAACAGGAACAAAGTCAGTATGCAGTTGTGCGGGAGAGAAAAAAAAAAAAAAAAAAAAAAAAAACACAAAACAGGCAGAATCCTAAACCCAGACCCATTCACCTCAAACTTTTCAGGGCTGGCTGCTGCAAGAAAGTTTCAGCAAAATAAAAAAAGCCTATTGCCTGTAAAGGCAATAGAAACCCCAACCAGGGACCCCTCCAGAGAGCTTCAGATCTCACAGCCCCGCATACAATCGCGTGACCTATTAATAAAATCCATAGAAACCAATTCTGTGTACCAAATAACAGCAGATGGCTCCAGCCCAAACCGCTCCGGGTTCCCTCACTCCATAAATGATTTTACTGGGGCTAGTCGTGATCTTGATGTAATTGAATAGGTTTCACTCTTCTCCCTCTCCCTCCCCCTCCCCAGAATATTTGTGCAGCTTACGGAGAGGCATCCAGGGGGACCGAGCTGTTGCTGGAAGGAACCTCTGACTCCAGCTTGCCTCATCGGTTTGGGAAGCGGCGTAAGTCTATCCTGAGCCACCTGGCTTGGAGAAGGAGGTTGCCTCTCTCTGCACCTTCCCTCTAACCCTTACAGCTTTTAATAAAGCTCTGGTAACTTGGCACATTCAAAATGTTTGGCTCCTGCCCATCAGGGATGTATGTAATGAATTCTTGTGCAGATGCATTTCTGAAATGAATCAGATGTGTTTACCTTGGGAACCAGGCACAGGGCTCCAGGACTTGGGTTTCGAGCATATAAGGCACTAAGTGACAAGGATCTCCTGTAAAACCTCCTGTTTTTAATGGGAATCCATTAGGCAAGCAGCAGTTCCTTGTGAAAACTCCTTCCAAAGCAGTTTCTCTTTCCTCAACTCGTTTGATGCTCCAGGAATCCAGCTGCAGGGATTTCGGTTCTAGGGTGTTCCTGAACAATGCAACGCCCTCGCTGTGTGCAAAGCCTCATTCTGTTGATGCCAGCAGCTCTCTGCTGATGGGCGTGCTGAGGACCTGCCCCAAAATTCTGCCTCCTCGAGCTGCTCCTGAAAGCATTGCTGAAGCCTGGCAGGATGCGTGGAGGTGTGTGGCTCTGCGTGCTGTGGTACAAACACAATCCAGCAACCCTCACCACCTTTCTGGAGAGGAGCAGGGAACACACAGCGGAGAGCTTTATGGAAAGTCAGTGCAGACGGTGGCTGTAGTGGTTGTAGCGTCTCTCTTATTTCTTATTTCTTATTTATTTATTATTTATTATTATTTCTTATTTTTTATTTCTTCTTATTTCTTTCTTGCTATGCAGAAATAAGAGAGACACGGAGCTGTTTTCTGTCCCTGAGGACAGCAGACACGGCACACCTTGTATCCACACAGCCTGCTTCTTCCTTCTTTTCTTTAGGTTGGATGTTAGGAAGAACTTCTTTACTGAGAGGGTAGTTAGACATTGGAATGGGCTGCCCAGGGAAGTGGTGGAGTCCCCATCCCTGGAGGTCTTCAAAAGACGTTTAGATGTTGAACTGAGCGATATGGTTTAGTGGAGGACTGGTTAGTGCAGGCCTACACCACCCTGACAATATCTGCAGAGAAAAGTTGGGTAACACCAGTGGGTGCTAGTGACATACAAGAAAAGTGGATCTGCAGCCCCAGAACTTGCAAATCACAGCCCTGGGCAGTTCAGTTTATGCTCCTCCTTTCATGATGTCAGCACCAGCGTTTGCTGTGGGGAGCAAAAGGGGAAGACACTTGGCTTTTACCTAACTGCTGCTATTTTGGGCTGTGGCAGGGTTGCTGAGCCCCCATCACTTCCCAGCTGCCCTCCTCTTCCTCTCGTATTGCACGAAATGCTCCCTGGTCGTTGGGATTGTCCTCCCTGCATGGGATCTGCTATGGGAAAGCCCTCACAGCAAGCAGGCTCTTTGCCTCAGTGGGTTTTGACTTCTTTACTCAAAAAATGCAGAAGGCTGAGTGTGACAGCAGCGTGCAGCAGCGCTGATACACCAAAACACAAAGGTTTTAACTCAGAATTTATCCCCACCGGGTGGGATTACACCGAAGTTAAGTTGTGTGGATGATTTTTTTTTTTCCTGGTAGCTGTCACGTGTGCTTGCATGGCTGGATGTAACTTTCCGTGCCGCCGTTGTTCCATGACTCACCTTCTCTGCCTAAACAAAGGCAGAAAGAGCTCCAAGGAGGACAAAGTGAAAGTGGAGGGGACCCGATTGCAGGTTGGCTTGGTGAGCAAACGCTATTACTGAGCGTTTTTCTGCAGTTCTCCTTCACACACCGTGTATACCTGGAAACTTGTGTCCTCCAAGCAGAATTTGCACGGTGATGCTGGACATCAGGCTGCTCAGAGGGGCAGAGCTGAAAGCCCTGGCTGCATACAGACACACTTCAGACTTTTTCAGACAAGGTCAGAACCATCCCAAAATATCTACGGGCTCATCTGATGCCAGAAGCTTGTGGAAAGGAGCACAAGAAACACCGTCCTTGCAGCATTTGCAGCTGAAAGTGCAAGAAAGCCAAAAATCACAGGGGATATCCTGCATTTCTGTCCCAACTTCCCCCAAAGTTCAGAGAAAATCACAAGTTTCCTGGGTAGAACTGAGATTCCCCCACGCTGTGACTGGCCCCTCTTGAGTAAAGGCTGAGGGATGAGACTGAGACTTGGTCCTGACTTGGCTTCAGGCGTGTGTGTCCAGCCTGCCCTGTTCTTTGACTCCCCTGCCTTTGGCAGGATTTGGCTCCCTGAGAACCCGACCCTATTTCCATAATCCCTCTCCTGATTACAGCTGCTGTTTTACAGCATTTTACACTTCTTGGTGCATTCTTGCTGAAGAAGCTCCCATCAGAACTCTTCAGGCATGTCTACACTCCCGCAGCTGACGGGGAATCAAGCACAAGCAGCCATCGTGCCCGTGAGCCTTCGTATTTCTTCACGGAGCTGGATTTGAGCTGCCAGAAACCAGGGGAAGCAGAGACTGATTTACCATAAGTGGGACCCGTCCCATTAGCCATAAACTTATCCGCACGCATCGACTGCAAACCCGCAGTTTTTCCCTTAAATCTGTCACGAGGGGGGGGAGAAACAGCAGAAACAATCACAAGCTGGCTGTTTACGCCTGTTTTGTTTTAGAAGTGGGCTTGCACAGAAAGTTTGCAGCCCTGCTGCACAGACAGCTCGCAGCCATCTCTTATCACAGCAGCCATATGTCCTCGTTTCCTCAGCTGCAGCAAAATACGAGCCGTAATTAGGAAGCTGGGGGTAAAGCGCGTGGCATCCAGCGCTGGGAGAGTGGATTTGGGTGAAGGTTACAAAACACAGAAGGGAGCAGTCCCTCTGGCTTTCCGTTGCGTGGTTGTTGGTCTGTTAACCACCCAAATCCTCCACGCATGGGGGAAACCAGGAAGGTTTGTGAGGGGCCTGATGCATTGGGTTTGTGCTCAGCCGGTCCTGGGCATTTAATTTCCTGTGGAAATGACTCAAAATCAAGCCTCAAAATGCGATGAACTGACCTGCTGCTGTTTAAATCCCTTTGATAAGGTCTCAGGACATGTGGAGGGGATTGAGAGCGTTCGTGGATGTCCTGTGGAAAGCCTTCCTATGGGATGCACAGCCCGGCGGGGAGATCCCACTTTCCAGCATGGAGCTAACGTGGTTTCAGCAGGGAAACAAGGAGCAGAAGGGTCCCGCAGGAGCACTCAGACATTTTTCTGGCTTCTCCCTGACCAAAATCACAGACAGTTGTCATCTGTGGCCAATGTTCAGAGCTGGTGAGCAAAACTCAGTGTCACCCGCTGCCTTTTCACTTCACCCACGTGTTTCCGTGAGGGTGCTCCGGGATGGATAAAAATTAACCATCTATGCAATTAGCACACCGAAACAGCTGCCCTTGCGGCATGTCCGCGTCCTTCCAACCTCTTACTTTGTCCAAAAGGGAGACATTTCCCAAATCTCGCAGCAGCCAGCGGTCGTGAAATGCCCTTTCGCCCAACTCGGTGTGCTTTGTGCGAGGGGCATTTCTTGAATCCATCTGAAACTACACGAGAAAGGAGAGAAATAGCCCGGCGGCGAGATAAGATGATTATCTCCCCAGCGAACAATAGGACCACGGTCAAAATTAAAAATAATTGGATTGCAAATAGGAAGCCTCGTAAAGCAGCAGGAATAGAGGAAACATGACTAATTTTTTTTTTAGCTTGTCTGAACTCACACAACGGAGTTCTGCAAGCGCCGAAACTTTGAAATCGAGATCTGTGGAAAACCCACGGGGGGAGGATGGCAGGAGTCCAACTGCAATAGTACAATAGCAGCAAGTTGATGCAGCTCGTAGATCTGATCTAAATGGGTAAATGGCGACAGACAAAAGCTATTTTAGGTAGAACTTGGTGGGGACCACGCTAAATATTATTTGGGGAGGAGTGGAGAAAGTGAAGGCTTTTTACCTGACTCCTTTTTTTGGTTCACATGTGTCACCCGCAGGATCAGGGCTCAGCTCTTAGCGGGCCTGCAGAACAATCCTTCACATCCTTGTTCAGTGCTGGCTCTTCCCATCTCCAGCACAGAACCTTTCCTTGCTGCACGGGAAGGAGAAGGGGCCTGCAGGACTGCTCGGAATGGGGGATTCGTCCCCAAGAGAAAACTCCAAGAGATGTGGAGCCCATACCAGGCATCACAGAAAGGGCCTGGTGTCTATCGACGTACCTCAGCGGGCAGGAACATTGGGATCTGTGTTTTACGATGCCTGAGGTGACCTGAGTGTATCCTTCTATAAATGTAACTGTCTGGAATATTCCGTGCTTCCATTATCATCAGAGATGGCTCTCTGAGATGCAGGCAGCCAACGCTCGGATGCGCTGTGGCAGTGATGTTACATCCACCGTGCAGCACGAGAGCTGGAGGCAGAGGCTGAACCGAGCCGTTCCAATAATACAGGAGGAAGTCTGAATCAGAACACGACAAAGACGTGATGTTCCCAGGCCTAATTGTGACCACAAAACCGCAAATTCTTTTTTTTTTTTTTTTTTTTTTTGCTTTAGAAGCCTTTTGAACTGAGATTCCTACTCAGCCGAGGGTTGAAGCAAGTCTTCGGTCAGCTCCGGTGAAGCCACAGTTGGATTACATTAAGCAAGGATTTAATTTATTGACATTAAGCTACTTTAATTGCGGCTGTGCGCATCTGATCCTTCAGCCAGGTAGGTTCTTCTTGTATTTTGAGGGCATACTCCAGGCGAGGGCGTGTTACAGCAGCCACAAGCAGTAGCTGACCCTAGCCACTAACCCATTTATTTAAACCGTTTGGCAAACCTCAGCCAAGTGCAGTAATTGCAGGTGGATGAGAGCTCGCAGAAAGTCATCAGGCTCCTGATGGAGGAAACAGCGCTGAAAGGCAGCGGGGGAAATGACAGATTTAATGATCACGGGCTGACCTAGGGAGAGCGACCGGTCTGTGTGCTGTCCTACAAAGGTGGCAGAACCAAAATCAGACGGTCCTCACACACTGCCTGCTGGCAAGAGCCAAGACAAGCCAAGAGCTCTTCAAATAAGTGTGGCAAATGGCACCGGGGAAAGGCTCTGATGGAATATCAGAAAAGGAAGAGGTGTCTAATGCTGGTGGGGAGGATTTAGGCTGCTCAACTCCCAGAAAATGAGATTGTCCTTCTCATACCCAAGGAGACGTTAGGGCATATGCTTGGCCATGGCAGGACTGCAAACAGAATCACTCCAAGCTATCTTTGAGCGCTACATCACAGGTAAGCTCTTACAGAAACAGCTGATGGTGGCGTGGTTCAAGATTCTGTGCAGGGCACGGGGGGAGACTCAGTAAACCATCAAACAGTGGTGCCAGCCGTTTCATGCACGACAAACTAGCTGCAGAAGCATCGTTCTCACAGAGGCTTAGAGAAAGCAAAGGCTGGGACCTGCTTCCAAACTGAGAGAGGAAATTATTTAGGCCCGTTTTGTTACTTTAGCCACCTGAAACACCACCTGAGTGGAGCTGGTTGGTCACAGGTGCTTATGGACATGGACATAAATGGACAGAGGACAGAGGAGGAGGACAAAAGGAAGCTTGGACCCCCCTCCAGTTCCTCTGGCACAAAACCAGCTGGCTTTCTGGCAGGTTTGTTCTGCACAAGGCATAAAAGGAGAGTGTGCTGCAGGAACGATGAGGTGTAATTCTGTGGCTCTGTTACCCATGATAGGTGCAACAAACATTTCTGACCGTGGCACCTCTGGGAATAAACGCAAGCTGATAAATGGCTTTAGTGAATGAACAGGGACACCCGAAGGGGAAGAGGACGGCTACGTGAGTTCACAGACCTCCCCCCATGTCCCACGAACGTGGAAAGCTTGTTCCGTGCTGGCGTAAGGCCTGCTGCTACTGCAGAGCCTCCTGGCAAAGGTTCGGCGCTGCTTAGGGGGGATTGGAAAGCTGGAACGCCACCTCGGAGTGAAGAGACAGGTGTCAGTGGAAAAAAGTAAATAAAGTTTTTTTTCTCGGTGACTGTGTTCATCGGAATGGAAAAACCAGGCGAGGATCTCCAGAGCCCACGGATAACACAGACAGCTCTCCTGGTTTCTAATTTTGGAACAAAGTGCTCCTCACCACCGCTTTTCCTGAACACCATTGCATCCTTTACACAAACAGCAATCTGGCTGAGCCGTGCTTGCTTCTAAACCCACTTTTGCTTCCTCCTCGGCGTAGCAGGAGTTTCAAATCTCCTCTCTTCTCTTTATTTCTGCTAAAGCAGCCTTCCTTTCCAGTGGGAAAGGAGCATTTTCAGCCTTTGGGCACCTCTCTCTTGCACGCACCTTAAATAAGACCTCTTGGATTCGCAGTGCCAGCTCTGAGCAAGCCACCAGCGGATGTCATTACTCGTCTGCAGACAGAAGTGAAGCCAACTGCACTGCTTGTCCTTACCCTGACGAAGGCAGAGGCAAACGGGGAAGATTTACTAAACCAGATTGATAAAACCCTTTAATTTCTGGTGCGATGAGGGGAGAGGCTTCCCTCCGCAGCGTGCGCGTTGTGAGCCGACGGTGGTGTTTTCCTTGGGCGCGGGCCAAAGTTTGCGGCTCTCCTTTTCCTTTCACCAACCAGGAGGCCTCCGAGATGAGTCACCGGCTCTTACAGAGGGCCTGGCAGGCTGCTGAGCCAGGAAAAAGAGCCCACAGAAAGGGACTCAGGAGGTTTTGTGTCACAGGGAGCACGTGGGGAAGCGGCACCACTTCCCGCAGGCAGCCAACGCGCAGCGCTGAAAATAAAACCGGGACTCCCCAGGACTCTGTAGGATCAGGGTGCTACAATCTGGTGGGTGTTTAAGAGCCGGTGTGGCTCCACCTGATGTCCCTTTCAGCATTTTGGGTATGTCTGGAAGAATTCCTTCTTGTAAACCTGATCCCCGACATCACCAGTAACCCCTCTCCATCCTCGCCCAGCCCAGCAGCACCAGCGGGGCGGACACGAGGAGGATGTGGCTGGAGACCTGGGCCAGGGAGCCACGCAGACCGCTTGTTTTGTTTTGTTTTGTTTTGTTTTTTAACGTTTCCTCTTATTATGAGAGCAGCTGAATGAAAAAAAAAAAAGACCCCGAGGAACAATTCAGTGAGTAATGCAGACTGAGCGAGGGATGCGTGATCCCCGCTGTCTGACGCCGAATTACGGAAACGATCGGATGAGGCCAGCCTCACTTCGCTGCCGTCAGTGCTGGGAATCACGACGTTTATTGCTGAAGTGACAGCTCGCAAGCAGCAGGTGAGCAAGCAGTAGGCTGACACCACGGTCCTCTGTGCCTCCTCGGGGCTTCCAGGAGAACCACCAAGACGGGGAGTTGGAAGGGACCTCGAGGATGGCCTGGTGGCGATGCGGTGGCTCTGCAGAGCCTCGGGCAGCCAGAGGAGAACCGGGGCGGGCTGAAGGAGTGGGGAGGGATGAGGAGAATCGGGGCGGGAGGAAGGAACGGGGAGGGCTGAGGGGCCGGGCTGAAGGGAGGGCCATGGCGAGGGCTGGCTGTCTGCCTGCTGCGCTGCGACCTGCGGGCTCACGATAACCAGGTAGGGCCCGGCCGGAGCAATCCCCTCAGCGGGGGGGGGTTCTGTGCAAGTACCCCCGGGTGCCACCCCACTCATGGGTTATCTGGCAGAGAGGTGGCCCCCCCCAACCCCAACCCCAACCCTCACCCCAGCCCTAACTGTAACCCCAGCCCCAACCCCAACCCTACCCCTTACGTTAACCCCAGCCACAATTTTAACCCCAACCCCAGCCACAATTCTAACCCCAACCACAGCCCCAACCGCAAACACAGCCCCAACCCCAACCCTAACGCTAACCCCAACCCAACCCTAACCCCAACCCCAATCCCAACCCAACTCCTAACCGCAACCCTAACCCCAATCCCAACCCCAACCCTAACCCTAACCGTAACCGTAACCCTAACCCTAACTGTAACCCTAACCCTAGCCCTAGCCCTAACCCTAACCCCAACCCCAATCCCAATCCCAGCCTGAATGCCAACCCCAACCCTAGCCCCAACCCTAACCCCAACCCTAAACCTAACCCTAACCCTAGCCCCAATGCCAACCCCAACCCTAACCCCAACTCTAACCCCAACTCTAACCCTAACTCTAACCCTAACCCTAACCCTAACCCCAACCCAACCCCAACCCCAACCCCAACCCCAACCCTAACCCCAACCCCAGCTCCAGCCCCATCCCCAACCCCAACCCTAAATCCCCCACACCTGTGCTGTCAAGGCCCTCTCCATATTTCCAGGTGCTGCACTGGGCTGCCAGCAATGCCGATTACCTCATTCCCCTCTACTGCTTCGACCCGCGGCACTACGCGGGCACGCACTGCTACGGCTTCCCAAAGACGGGGCCGCACCGGCTCAGGTTTCTGCTGGAAAGCGTGAAAGATCTGAGGGAAACGCTCAAGAAGAAAGGAAGGTGAGAAAGCACCATAGAGATACCACATCTGTTTTAATTTTCCTTCTATTTTTCAACACTTATCTATGCTGTGAGTCAAATCCTGACAGTTTGGGGCTGTGATGACGGTTTGTTCCAGAGAGCAGCCCTTCTGTTAGCATTGGTCACTGCCCAAGCCCTGTTTGGATGACTTGCTGTGGCATCTGCAAGGGACTGAGGCTAACTTTTCACTTTTAGGTAACATCCAGGCTGTGTGCCGTTCAGATTTTGCTTTCCTGACCTCAGATAGCACAGATGGGTCTCAGCCACAAGCTCTTTGCCCAGAATCCTGCAGAGACATGAACTGCAGTTTTCCAAGACACGGGCAGTGGCACCAAGCACCTCAGCATGCTTCTTTCCTTGTCCCTAGCAAGTTTTCCTCAGAAACCTACTTGCCAGACCTCTGTGGGTCCTGTTTTGTGATACTGGAGTTAAATTTGCTCATGCCCTGTCCCAGCAAACCTGTTCCCTTTGGCAGGCTATGCCGTGGGAAGGGGATCTTCAGGGATTCCTCTTTCATGTACCTTTAGGAACTATACTTAGGGTAGACCAGGGCATGAAAGAGATCCCAGTACTTGGGAACATTTGGCTTTGCTTAGCAGAAGATGCATCAGCGAGCCCATCTTCTCCCAGGGCAGCGCAGCGTTGGCAGGAGATGCAAGAAGAGTGGCAGTGCAGACCATGCAGGTTGAGGGGTGTTTTGGGGGGCTGAAACAAGCGATCAGTGGGTAGTTGCACCCTCACCCTGCAGCGAACAGATCCAGAGCTGCTTGAATGCTGCTGGGCCACCCTTAGTGGCTGCTGAGAGATTGTTCTGCCCGGAATTCTCTGCACCCACCTCTGGCCAGCTTTCTCACCACAGCTTCTCTTTTGGCCCGGTGTCCTGGGTACACAGCTGGGCAGTTTGTGGGGTTGCAGTGTGGGAGGGGAGTTTTGTTGATTCTTACTAAGCTGAGGAAAGAATTCCTCTGAACAATCCCACGTGAAAGCAGAGGGGGGTCTGCCCACAAGCCACCGCTACCTGCAAAGGAGATCGGAAGAGGATTCAGTTCTCAAATCTCAGCCTGTGCGTGTGTGAGGCTGAGCAGATCTGACAGATTCACGTTTAGGTAACAGCCTGGCTTTCTGCCCAGTCATCCTTTCTAAGGCTTCCGGGCTGGTAGGAATGTGTTCAGTGCAAACTCTGCCTCGGTGGCTTGCAAACTGCGTTCAGTGGTTCCTAAAAAAATGTGGGCTAGTCAAATCCTGTCTGTCTGCCTCCACAGGCTGGCTGTGCTCCTCACAGAACGGGCACCCGGGTGCCTGGGCTCCTCTATGCACAACCAGCGATGACATCAAACCTAATTCGGGCCAACCTTTTGTGTTTGCAGTACCCTGGTTGTGAGAAAAGGGAAGCCAGAAGATGTGGTCCGTGATCTGATTACTCAGCTGGGCTGCGTTGGAGTCGTAGCTTTCCATGAAGAGGTAAGGGAAGTATTGTCATGGTTAAAAGGTAAAATTAGCGAGGTTTCTTCTACATGATTGTGGTGGGATTCCTGGCTGGATTGCAGCTGTTGGTGAGGAAGGAAGCAGGAATCTGGGCCCTGGCTGCTGGCAGGGTTGGCACCTCACTGACCTGCCCTGGAACCCATCTTACTCCGCAGCCATTCTCCTGGCAGTGCCCAGTAGCAGATGGGGAGAGAAAACCAAAGGAGCAGGGCAAGATGCTTCCCCTAAATACCTCCCCAGCCTCCAGGATCCCATGGCTGAAGGACTTCTCGAGGCAGGAGTGCTGTCCTGATGTTCCCTGCTGATCAACAAACTTCTTGTACATGCATTTGTCCAGTTACCGTTGCAGTCCATGCAAACATAAAATATCTGCAAGGTCTTACATCAAGCTTCACTGCTCACAAGATGATAACCTAGCCTCTTGGCAGTTTGTTGAATCTTTTTCTGCTTGGCTGTTGGAAAAAGCCTGGCCTCGTTTATCCGCTTTATATTCATCTCTGAGGTTGTAACAAGTATTCCAGGGCGTCTGGTGGTGGATTTGGCTCCTCAGAGCAGCTTTACTCTCACCTCCTCCACGTTCTGGCATCAGCGCTGCTAAGGGAGCGTGCAAATGCCAGCTGGGTTTGGCCCCGCAGTGGTCTCAGCGCGTTGTGTTCTCCCCAGGCTACTCAGGAGGAGCTGGACGTGGAGAAGGAGCTGTGCCAGGTGTGCGAGCAGCACGGGGTGGAGGTGAAGCCCTTCTGGGCAGCCACGCTGTACCACCGCGACGACCTTCCCTTCGGGCCCATCGCCAGGTGATGCCACGCACTCCTCCCTTGTCCCTTTGATTGCTCGCTCCACCGAATGCCCAGGGTTTTAGGGGTTTTAGGAGGGGTCATGATAGAACTGCCTGTGACAGGAGCCTTCTGGGTGTGGACTCTTCATGCCTCCATCAATAATCCCTTGATATCTCGTTCATAGTTGAGTGATTTGTGGTATCCTAAAGAAAATATATAAAATAGGGCAGAAAAGCCAGGCCAAAACAATGCCTGTTGGTCTCCATCGATCGTAAAGGCAGTCTGAAGTTGCACATTTCCATGCTGAGGTCAGCCCTGGGGGTGATTAAAACTTAGGTGAGCTAAATCCACCCCTCAGAATCGCCCCATCAGGACACACCATAAGTGGAAAAGGCACCGTTGGCATCAGAAGCAGAAAGCAAATTAGTGAAGGGCTGTGAGGAGGGCACACGGCAGCCATTCCACGGCTCTCCTACGGAGATGTGACCGCGCTCCAATCCCTGCAGGTTGCCCGATGTCTACACCCAGTTCCGAAAAGCGGTGGAGGCCGAGGCGAAGGTCCGGCCGGCCCTGCAGCTGCCAGATCAGCTGAAGCCTCTGGCTCCAGGCGTGGAAGAAGGCTGTATCCCCACGATGGAGGATTTGGGACAGAAGGGTAAGAAAACAGAATTTAGCTGCTGCTCCTGTGAATTCCTTACTGAGAAGCAAAAGAAAGAGGCCTCCCAAGGCAGCGGTTGCCCTTCACACACTAGCTGAGCCCCTGGTAAATTCCCTGCCTGCAGGAACTGGGTTGGCAGGCCCTGGGTAGAAAACATTCTCCTAATCATCAGTTTTGAGTGTCTGATGTGGCCCTTTTTCAAAGCAAGGCTCTGGCAGAACCTTGCTCTTCCCCAGAGCAGCATCCCTCGTGCTGAACGTCTTGTTTTTAAGCTCCTTGCCATTGAGGTGCTTTCCAGAGGCTGATTTTTGTTGGTAATGTTTTCTGTGGCAGATCCCGGGACTGATCCACGAACAGCCTTCCCCTGCCGTGGAGGAGAGACCCAGGCTTTAGCGAGGCTCCAGTATTATTTCTGGGACACGGTAACTCACACATTTCCTTCTCTGCATCCTCCCCCTCGTACATCCAGCTGTACCAGTGTGTGAGGCTGCAGTTCACTTCCTAATAATTCCTTAGCTCCTGTATTAGCACTGCACAAAGGAGAGAATTAGCATTATTTCAGTGTCACAGCGAGACAAACTAAATCAAAAAGAAGCCATCCAGGAACTGGAAATGTAAGACAAATATTTAGGAACGTAGTTTAGTGGCCACCCCTTTTTAGTGTCTCTTTCTTCAGCTTTAGGGAATTGGAACCATCTTTTGGTTTCTTTACCTTGACTTGCCTCATGTTGCTTTCCCTTCCCACGTCAGCAGCAATTCAGTTCCTCCGTTTTGGAGGAGTGAAAAGGAGCTCAAAGGGCTGCAGTCGCATTTGGGGTGAGGAACAACTGAGCCAGGCTGCTGCCCACAGCCAGCTGTTCCCAGCAGTCTGGCCCAAAAACTCGTGGCCAAATAATTCAGAAACGATTTGTCCGGTGTGCTCACTAACACAGCTTCCAGGGGATTCTTTCAGCTGTGCTATGAAGATCCTGCATTTGCTTGGTGCTGGGCAGCACAGACAGCTTTTAATCTTTAGGGAGCACTAATACGATCACTTCTGGAAAACCTGCTCCTTTTTTTTTTACAGTTATGCAAGTATTATCAGCCCTTGGTGAGCCGGAACAGCTCGCTAGTGCTCGTAACCTGTGCTGTGGTCACAGCGCTTGCAGAAAGAAATGTGCTACAGGTTGGAGCAGGGAGCACGGCTCGTGACACGTTTCCCAGAGCTGCAGTGAAAGCTGCTGGCCTGATTAATTTCTGCGCACTCCAGGCTGTGATTTGGCAGCTCTGTAACCCTTGCGGGCAGCTGTGAGAGGGAGCCCAGCCCTGCCGGATCATCCTGGCTCTGCTATGAAATACATTTTAGCAGGTGGCATGTCAGGTATTAAAGTCTTTTGTTCTCTTCTCACCCAGAACCTGGTTGCATCGTACAAGGAGACTCGGAACGGGCTGATAGGCATGGATTACTCAACCAAATTCGCACCATGGTAAAAAAAAAAACTTTTGTTGTGAGGTTTGAAGCTCCCTTTCTGCCCCCACCCCAAAGCGACGTTACCTGTTTGCTCAACACTCGTTTAGCATGGACGGGGGCCTGAGTGTGATTCCCTCGTCCTTTTTGTCGGGGTACAGCAGTCTCAGAACTGCTCTTTGTTATCAGGCTCTTTATTCCCCGGGAACATTCCTGCAGTTAGGAATTGCTGAAGGGTAGCAGTGAGGAGCTGAGCGTGCTGAGAGCAGCAGTGTGGGCTCTGTGCTGCTTTGTGGATCTGTGTCACGGAACCGCAACGTGAAACAATTTTCCGGGGCTGCTCCAGGTCAGGATTTTTATTTTCAGCCCTGTGCTTCAGTGCTCGCAGCGGATGGCTCCACCTGCTGGCACTTGGGGATCCCAAGGCCACTGGGAAGTTCTTTTCTCTGTTGTGGCCACTCGAGTTTTTTTTTCCAAGCTGGCTGTTTGCCCAGCACAGCCAGTCCCGATCTGCCTGCCCTGAAGTCTTCTTCTGCCAGACAATCAGCACCGGGCCGGCTCAGGCTGCAGCCATTCACGCCTCACACTGGGCATTGCTGAGGCGTGCAGCTGGTCAGCAATTAAGGAAAAACTCAAATCCTTTCTTCCTGTTTTCCAAAACTCACCAGAAGGTCAAATGTTTCCATCAGCCCCGGTGAGGAATAGCATTCAAATACATTTCTGGGAAAATCTTAGGGTCTTATCACCCTTTTCCATCGGGCTGGAGTCTACGTTTTGTTTTCTGCCCTGCACGGCACTGACGGGGAACAAATGGAAGGAACCTGCAGGGTTGAAATGCCAAAGCTGGGTTTGCTTCCCTTGTTTTCCAACCCTGCATGAGATTTTCGGCAAGCCACTCGCCTTCTGTGGCTCCTCAAATGAGACACGTGGGTGCTGCAGAACTAGGAGCCCTGGACGTTGGGATAAATTGGTCCAGAGGGGAAGGAGGGCTGCTGGACAGCTGCGGCAGATGCTGAAGAGGTTTCACAGAATCCCAGAATCATCTCGGTTGGAAGGACCTCCGAGATTTTTCAGGCTCTAAGCACAAAGCTGCCCCTCTGTGCCCTCTGTGGAGCCACCAGGCTGTGAGGCACTGCCCTGTTCTGAATTCCAAACATCTCCCTTCTGCTTCCTTCTCCCTTCAGGCTGGCACTCGGCTGCATTTCCCCCCGCTACATCTACGAGCAGCTACGGAAGTATGAAAAGGAGAGAGGGGCAAACGATAGCACCTACTGGTACGACCCTGCGTGATGGTTGTGGCGCGTGTTTTCTGGAAAGGAAACTGGCGTCTCATGCACAGGAGAGAGCGATTTGTTAACTTTCTTCTTAATTAATGCTCATTTTGCCTGTGCCTGCTGTCTGGTTCCTCTGGGGCTCACCGCACTTCTGTTTCAGGACGGGTTTATTGCTCTGCCGTTGACATCCAGAGGCTTTAGGCATTTTATAAGTGAGGATTATTAATGCCACTTGTCGTGGCTATCGGTGGCGGGTTTCTGCTCAGAATTTTTAAGACTGATCTCTGTAAATCAGCAAAAGGGCCCCGCGCTCGCTCAGCTGGCTGCCCACGAGCACGACGCCTTAGAAAAGGGGAAGAAGGGATCGGAAGCGGGCTTCATGCAGCCAGCCCGGTGATCCCTGCTCTTCCTCACCCACCAGCTGCGTGCCTGCAGGTGGCACTGGGGGAATCTGCGCTGCTGCGGGGTGCTTGGGGTCAGTGAATCCATCTCTGTGCTGGTCTTGAGCTCACTCATGCCCAAGTCCAATTCAAGCGACAGATATTGACCTCTTGCTCGCTTATGTGTGTGTTTCTCTTTGTTTTCTTCTTCAATCGCATGGCTTTGTGTTGTAGGGTCCTGTTTGAACTGCTGTGGCGGGATTACTTCCGATTCGTGGCCCTGAAGCACGGCAGAAGGATTTTCTCAGTAAGAGGTGCGTGCGGGTCTCTGTATCTGGAGGGGAAAGGGACGGTCTTAAAACAGGGAAAGGAAGAGAAGAGGCTGCAGGCGCTGTGATGTGCAAACACCCTTGTTGTAGTGCTTGTGTCACTGCCCTGGGACGCTCCTGGTGAGTTGCTTTTTGCACAGAAATGCCTTAACACCACGGTCCTGGCTGCTGTGAAGTTTTGCCTCCAATCTGATTAACTACAGGGAACAGTAGCACAAATATTAGTGGGAAACAGCAGCACAACAAGAGCAAAAGTGCTGTTTCCAGAGACCCTCTTCCTTCGGGCAGCACTTTTAGATGCCCTTGGGCATTCTGCCTGGCATCCTGCTGTGGCTGCAGAGGGGCACGCGTCTCCCTTAGGGCCTGAGTCACATTTGCCAAGTCTAAATGGCTGTTTCAAACGCCCCGTGGCATTTCGAATCGTACCTGGTGCCAGTGGTGGGCCTGAACTGAGATGTCTGGAGCCAAAGCTGAGTCCCTGCTGTCTCCGTCCCACCGTGCAGGGCTGTAATTGCCATCAGACCCCTGCAGACTTAAAAGTCGTCCTCCTTATCTGTTCCTAGCCAGCTGCAGGAGCAAAATCTTACCGGGGGCTTCTGCAGAGTAATTCTGGGGTCAGTATCTGCTGTGGAAATGGATTTCACACACGCACTGTGCTGGAATAAAACCGAACAAGAAAATATTACCTTGGAGCAGAGCGTATCTCTAGCTGCTTAGGAGGTCTGAGCCATTTTTAAGTTAAACAGCAAACACCAGCAAGCCAAATAATCAAAATTCAGAAGGCCTTGAGCATCGCCTGCGTGCACCAGGCACCCCTTTACAACACTTCGTAGGATGAACAGATTATCTCTAAATCTTTGCAGAAGGAATGTGGTTTGTGATGACAGAGGGCTAGCTCCATCCCGATGTCTTGTGTCAGCCAAGGCACCTCTGGCTGTCATCATTTCATTTTTAAATGCTTGTGTCAACGTTTGTCTTCACAAACACTTCCTTTTTATCCTCAACAGGGCTTCAGAGTAAAGAGGTCCCCTGGAAAAAGGATCTTCAGCTCTTTGACTGCTGGAAAGGTCAGTAGAACAAGAGGCTTGGCTAGCAGTGCTCTTGGTTTCCACCTGCCCGCATGCTTACGTGTGCCCCAGCGCCAGCTCAGGTTTGTACTTTGTACTCTCATCACCAAACAAGCACAGAACCCTGGGTGAGTGCAGGATGTTTGCCTGCCTTTCAAGACCGAGCACCATCCAGGATCAGGCCCCTAGGATGTCATAAATACCCAGGTTCTGTCTGCCACAGGCTGTGAGATGAACCGCAGGTAGATTTCCCTGCCCAGGTTTGTTCTTCCAGGAGGTTTTGGTGAGGTTAAAGCAGCCTTAGAATAAATCTCACCTTTTGCTGTGCCACACAGCCTTTTCATACACTTGTGTGGTTTTTTTTTTTTAGATTTTATAACTTCGTTGTCACATGAATAGCAAAGATAGTATCCCAAATTAAAACTCAGAGGGACTAACAGGTTAAAGTATCAAACCAGTGACATGCACATCTGTGGATCTTTCTTCATATCAGTGCCATGTGTGTCCATTCACGCAGAGCTACAGCAATTTTTTTCCTTATCAACAGACAAAAGCTCTCTGCTTTTCAGGTGCTAATCCTAAGGGACTTGTCCCATACACCCCACTCCGCTCTTCATCCTTTCTCAACATTTTTTGTTGTTGTTCTTGGCCCATCTCCCTGCTGTCTGTACATTTATTTTGCTTCAATTCCACCTGATGCATTGGTTTTCCAATCTGAAGTTTTTCTGTACCTTTTTATTTTTAAATTCTCATTTTAATTTTCCATTCAATTTACTTAACAGTGGCTCTTACAGCTGAACGTCAGCAAATCTCCCCAGCATAAAGTTCTCTCCCTGCTGCTGTGCACTGGCACTGTTTTACCTGCTCGGATAGCCATGAATGCATGCGCACGGGTCAGTTCTGAGTGCCAAAAAATGCCATCGCATCCCAGCAGCGCCTTTTATCTCTGCAGAGGGCAAAACCGGGGTTCCTTTTGTCGATGCCAACATGCGGGAGCTGGCTGCCACGGGCTTTATGTCTAACAGAGGGCGGCAGAACGTCGCCAGCTTCCTCACCAAGGACCTGGGGCTGGACTGGAGGATGGGGGCGGAGTGGTTCGAACACCTGCTGGTAAGGCTGAAGCCAAGAGGTAGCCAGGAAGTTTGCAGTGATACTTTTGGTCCTTCTCTTGTTGAGTTTTGGCCAGAAATCTGTCATACTCAATAAAACTGTCAAGCATAGATAACGTTAACGTAGATAACGTTAACAATGCTCTAATTTGCTCGTCCCAGAGGCTGGGGAGGAGGGCAGCCCTGAAATAGAACAGAAAAAGAAATATGTTCAGGCCACTGAAGCTGGGGTTGGCCCAGATCCTTGCGGTGATGTGGACGGAGAAATCACCCAGAGAGGAGCAGGCAAGCAGGGACAATAATTGCTCAGCTTCCACAGGGCTCCACCCTGGCTGGAGGCATCTTTCTTCCTTCTGGTGAGTCAGCGACCGCCCTGCCAAGGGGAGCAGTGTTCCCTTCTGCCAGTCAGCACAGTCTTGGGTTGCTCTTCTGGCCTTGGCCCCACAGTTTTTTCTTTCCAGGAAGACCTCGTCTGTGGAATACCAGAGGCTGTGGATATTCAGGAAACTTTCCGCTCACGAGAGTGGCTGGAGGTGCAACAAAACCATCACTTCCCTCCTACAGGCGATTAAAAGAGCCTTTTTTGTTAATTAATTAAAAGAGCCTTTTTTATTAATGTAACTTTTCTGAGCTTCCTTGGAGCTGGGCTCTGGCAGCCAAGATCTGCATTTCAGTACTGATTTAAGTCCTGTACCTTGAGTGCCTTGTGTGTACGGGCTGCCCTGAAGCCTGGTTTGGCACAGCTGAGGGGCGCCCACACGCACAAACGCGCTGACACATTCCTGAATGGCTTCAAGCCTGGCTCTCGGTGGCATCTACCAGCTGTGGCTGACAAAGGTGGGTGTGATATGCAGAGGCCAGCTTAATTCGTGTCAGGACAAGCCTGGTGCTCAAAGCTAGCGGTGATTAAGAGTTAGGAGTGGCCGAGATCCTGGCAATCCCAAGGGCACTCAGGCAGGACCGTGCTCTGCTGTCATTTGTGCCTCTTTCAGAATCCTGGCTCCATTTTACACAAGCATCCTCGAGAGCTTTTTGTTGAGGTGCAAAATAGATTTTTTGAGATGTCGAATAGATCCAAGTGTAGCAGGGACTCAACTGCTGCTTTGTGCTGGTGGCAGCTTCCTGCACTCTGTGTGCTCACTCCCTTCCCTCAGACTTTTCTCCAGTCTGCCTAATGGGATCTGCAGGGATGATTTTGCTTGTCTGTGGTCCCCAGGAAGAATTTCTGGAGTATTTGAAATGTTCTGGGCTGCTCCTTCTCAGAACGTGAGCCCTCAAAGGCTGGGGGAGTTGTGATGAAGCTTTCCCTTTCCTCCTCCTCTCCTCGAGGTTGATTACGACGTTTGCAGCAATTACGGCAACTGGCTGTACAGCGCCGGCGTTGGCAATGACCCCAGGGACAAGAGGAAATTCAACGTGATTAAACAAGGCCTGGACTACGACGGCAACGTAAGTTATAAATCATCCCGGGCTGCCTCGCAGCGAGCAGCAGAGCAAAACTCGTCTTGATAGTTGCAGGGACCAGGGATCGATGCGCTGTGTGGGCACCGCAGCCCTGTGCTCGCTCTGCCGGCAGGCGGGCAGCTTCCTCCTCCTCCCTGTGCAGGAAAAGCTGACGTTTGCAGTCTGCTGCACTCCCCAACTCCCCGCGGCTTGGTTTCGTCAGCGTTTCTTCCGGGTGGCGGCCCCGTTCCATCGGTGTCATGCACCTCCTGCCTCGAGCAGCTTCGGGAGGGACTCGGAAGTGGCCGGAGAGCCTCAGCTGCTCGCCTGGCACCTCAGGAGGTGCTGGATGAAACCTCCGGCTTCTCTGCCTCTCTCCAAGCACACAGATTGCCCTTTCCAATTGCTTTGGTGTCGTTCACATCCTGCTTCCACCCCGTTCCTTAGGTAGCAGCATTCCCTTTTACCACTGTAGCAGGAAGAATTTAACAGGAATCAGATTTTTTCCTAGCAGGGGATGCAGCTGGAGAGGCCCATGGGGTTCATTTAGCCAAGCACCGAGGTGTACAGCTAAGCTCATGCTGGTTTCTGTCAGTCACTGGAAAGAAAAATGCTACTTTTGGGGAGTGGTTTCACCTTGCCCTGTCTTAAACAGCCCAGGGGAACCCTGCAAACACCTCTGAGTGAGCTCATCCTCGTGTCCTTGCATTCCAGGCTCTAATTCTGGGTAGCGGGTTTAACAGGAGGGGTCGAGAGCTGACTGGTGCTGCACCACCAGCTTCTTTTGCTGGAAACCAAGCTTTTCTTTCACGAAGACCCTCCCACGTACAGATAATTGCAGAACAGCCCCCGTCCCTTCGGTTTTGGACCCTGTCCCTTCTGTTTGCAGGGAGATTTCGTGCGGCTGTGGCTGCCAGAGCTACGGGGCATTGCGGGAGCTGATGCCCACGCCCCGTGGGCACTGAGCAGCGCCGCGCTCCGCCAGGCGGGCGTAATTCTGGGCCAGACCTACCCACAGCCACTCGTGAGGGCCCCGGAGTGGAGCAGGCACATCAACCAGAGGCTTGTGAGTACTGGGAAAACTGGGACGGGCTGGGAAATCTTACAAGAAACTCTCATTTCCTAAATCCAGGACTAGAACCATGTCCCTGAGGCCAACCCCAAATTTTTGCCCCGTATCTGGGGGCTGGAAGAGCCACGTGCACGTTTTTCTTCCTAACACTGCGTGCCAAGGCTGTGTTGTGCCCAGAGCAGCAGCAGAAGTGTCTCAGTGCTCGTCTCTCCTTTGCAGCAGGGAAGAAGCCCCCATCCCCGGGGCAGGAGAGGACCTGCTGACGCCCCGGCGCAGCGCAAAGACAGAGGGATTGATTTTTACTTCTCTCGCAAGAAAGATGAGTGACGGAGGCGATCCATGTGCGTGCTGGAGAAGAGTTCACTGGGACTCCGAGCAGGTGTTGCTGCTTTTCCAGTGCCTCCTGCTTGGCACTGTTCCTTCCAGCTGTTACAAGCTCAATTTCTACCTCTTCTTACAAACTGGAGCAGCTGGTTTGTGCAGCAGGTATTCAGAAAGAGACATTTAGCGCGAATTTTCTTATGCTGATTTTTCATTCTTAAAGCTTTTAAACCACTACTCATTACGCAATTAAAAATTTGCTGCTGGAGTGTTTTATCTTCCTCATTTCCACTGACGGAACAGAAATCCCCAGATAGTGAGACTTCAGGGGATGTCTAGTGCCTAGAAGCAGGCCCCTCTCAGCAGAAGGAATGCAGCTCTGGGATTTATTACCACTAGGGATCCATTCGGACCTCTTTGGTAAAGAATAATCCCATAACTCTGCTAAATCTCTTAGTTATTTAGGTAGAGGGGTTCAGGACTGCCTTGAGAAGACAGCCAACATGGAACACAAAAGCGAGATCTGTCAAAAGGAAACAAATGGAGTAATTTTGTAGGGAGTGAACACCCTATAAGGGGTGTTTGAACCTCATATGATAATCCTGCCGTTTGTTGGATAACAGGAACTGGTGAGTAGCTCCTGATGATGGAGGAGGGTCAGTTTCAGGGGTTGCTGCTTAAAAGAAACAATCGTATCCCAAATAAAAGTCTGGGACAAAGCAGTAGCCCAGATGTTGGAGTACCTGAACAGGCCTAGTGTTCTGAGCATCGCTTGTTCAAACCTAATTAATCAGAAACCCAACTGCAAAGCCACTCAGATCCTGACAGATGTCCTGTTCTTGATCCAAGTGAATGTGTGCAAGAGGGGACTGCTCCCAGCTCATCTCCTTACGATGGTGAGTTGCTGCTCTCACCTGCTCCCTCACAGAGCAGTGTCTGAGGGATCCCAGCCAGGCTGGGTAAAATCTCCTGGGTTAGCTGGAGCTGTTGTTGGCCTGAGCTAACCTGGGGAATTGGGACATGGCTGCTGCTGGCAGAGTTGGCAGCTCCAAAGCTGGATGTGCAAAAGTGCCTCAGCTTTTGGGTGGAAAAGGAGCAGAAGCAGAGCCATGGACACAGAGATTGGGTGTACATCAGCTGTCAGCCTTTCCTTGTGAATCTGATGGTCTGGGTGTTGGGTGGGACAATCACAGAGTCATTAAGGCAGCAAAAGCCCTCCAAGATCACCTGTTCCAACCATCCCCCTACCACCAATGTCACCACTAAGCCATGTCCCCAAGCACCACGTCCAACCTCTCCTTGAACACCCCCAGGGTCGGTGACGCCACCACCTCCCTGGGCAACCTGTCCCAATGCCTGACTGCTCTTTCTGAGCAGAAATGTCTCCTCATTTCCAACCTGAACCTCCCCTGGCATAACTTGAGGCCATTCCCTCTGGTCCTATCACCTTCCCCAGCTCCATAGCCCTGCTCTGGACACACTCCAGCGCCTCGATGTCCTTGTATTGAGGGACCCAGAGCTGAGCACAGCCCTGGAGGTGCAGCCCCAGCAGAGCAGAGCCCAGGGGGACCATCACCGCCCTGCTCCTGCTGGCTGCTACCAGCCAGGATCACAGAATCACAGAATTTCTAGGTTGGAAGAGACCTCAAGATCCTCGAGTCCAACCTCTGACCTAACGCTAACAGTCCCCACTAAACCATATCCCTGAGCTCTACAGCCACATGCGCACACTGCTGGGTCTCACTCAGCATCCATCAGCACCCCCAGATCCTTTGGAGAAGCCTGGAGCTGGACAATAAGACAAAATGTGGATTCCTGAGGTGCTATTTGGGAAAAAAAAAAAATAAATAAAAAAAATAAAAAATAGTAATAATAGTAATAATAAAGGCTCGTGAAGCGCAGATCCTTCCTCCTTTCGCCTCCCCCCGGGGGCGGCAGAGGCAGAGGCAGAGGCGGGTCCTGCCCCGTGAGGCGAGGCGGGGCGGGAAGGCTCCGGGGGAGGGAAGAAGAAGCCGAAAGCGGCCCCGGCCATGGCCACGGCACCGGCGAGCTCGGGCTCGACCCCGGATTCAGCTCCGGGCTCGACTCCGGGCTCGGCTCCGGGTTCTTTCCCCCCGGAGCTGGCGGCCGTGCCCATGGTGGCTCTGAACTACGGCGTGAGGCGCCGCCTCGGTCTCTACCTCAACCCCCGCGCCGCCGCCGCCGCCGACTGGACGGCGCTGGCCGAGGAGCTGGGCTGCGAATATTTGGAGATCCGGCGGCTGGAGGCTCTGCCAGACCCCACCGGGGCTCTGCTGGACGAGTGGCAGAGCCGCTGCCCCGGCGGGGCCACCGTGGGCCGCCTGCTCGAGCTGCTGAGGCAGCTGGAGCGCCACGACGTCTTGGTTGACCTGGCGGCCAGCGTGGGTGAGGCGCGGGTGTACCTCAGGGGGAGGTGGAAATGGGCACAAAGGGTCCGGGTTTTATCCTGGGGATGTCCCCAGAGGGGGTGTGAGGGGAAACTGAGCCCCACGGCTCCTTGCTGGTTTTTTTTTGGGGTCACACAGCGACGCGGCAGCCCCTTCATGGTTCCTCCTCACAGGGCTTTCAGGAGGGAAGGGCGCCCCGGTTCTGCTAACCTTGAGCCCTGAGAAGTAATCGCGAGCTTCATCTTATCCAGAGGACCCCCTTGGTTCCTATCAGCACGTCTAAGGATGATTTCGGCACACTGGGCCATGAGGAGGCTCAGATATTGAATAATGTGGGAGTGGTGCAGTGCTAGGGGGAGATTTGGGGTGCAGGGTGTGCAGCACCACCTGTAGGGTCAGGGTGTCAGGAGGGGAAGTTCATTTCCATGTAAACCGAAAAATTACAAGGCACAATCAGCACACAGCAGTGAACGTGGGGGCCCCACGGCTGCTTTTATAACCTGTGCTTTGTAGGCTCTGCTCGCGATCACAGGAGTTCACAGGGAAGCCGGCTGCGAGAACTGGAGGGGAACTTAACTGCCGAAGCGCTTCCAAAGCCAGGGGCTGCTCTGAGGCCGTGTGTTGTGGCGTGTCGTTTACGGGGTTACCGATGAAGAAATAACAAATCTCATTTCCTGTTACTGCAAGAGCTGAAGCTGTAGGAATGTGGCTGCGCGGAGAGCCTGACTACGAACCGACGGAGGGCTTCCCTGTGCTCCCGCTGCTCTGCCCAGCGAAGAACGCTCTGAAGACTTTGGGGAAAGGAAAAAGAAATCAGTATGTTTTGTGAGCCACAGCTGCGTGAGGGACCTGAGGTATCAGAAGAACAGCAAGAATCGCTCACTGAGGCTGCTCGTGGCCCCAAATTCAGCCGAGCCCCCAGGAGGGAGCGCAGTGGGCTGACTTCTTCAGACCCCGGACAGACAATAGCGGGGTGAGCGGGAGGAGCCAGAGCTCCAGGAAAGCCACAAGTTGAGCCCAGCTGTGGGCCACGCTGATAAGAGGAGAGAGATAAGTTCTTGGAAGAAAAACCCACTGAGGGCTGTAGGGCTGTTCGGTACAAAAATATTGCCACTGGCTCAGGAAATGTCTGAGCTGCGAGTTGTCCAGAACATAGATCTTACAAATAGATTACAGCTAAAAGATTAATTTTGGAAAATATCACTCTTATGTTTACTTTATTCTTCTGTTCTCCCTTAGACAGCTGTTTTTGAGCATTGTTTGGACAGTTAGATGGACCCACAGCCTGACCCAGTGTGGCCGTTCCTGTCTTTTATGATTTTTGGCTGAGGATTGCGGCTGGGCCCTGCAATCTGTTGCTAGTTCTCCAAACTCGTGCAGAAGTCAGAGCTATTTATTTTATAAGAAGAAAGAAAATGGACGGTTGCATAAACTGTCACGTGCGGTATGTCCTGATGCGAAAGGCATCTTCGTGAACTAGGACTTCACGTATTAGGACTTCAGCTGTGGGATTCAGCTCAGATTAAAACATCAGCATTGAGGTTCCTGTGGTCTCTGCTTCCGTTACGGGAGGAGCAGATCTGGGGCGCGATGCAGCTGACCCCACAAAGGCATCTTCAGTCCCTTGACAGGCCTCAGGATGTCCTGCGTGGCCTCTACCTCCTGATTGTCACAGGTCATTTCAGGTCCAGCGTCCTATCTGCGGGTACAGGGGGCAGCTTTTCCATCTTAGCAGCAGTGCCCTATGTTTAATTTTTCTCAGCAGCTTATTTCATTGTACGATCGTCTTTAGGGATGTAAAATTCGTTGCCTTGGTGCGTGTGTACTGGTTCCTGCTGAAACTTAGTGATTTTTAAGTCTTCCTGACCGGTTACAAGTGCTGCTTTCCTGCTTGACAGGGTGTGGGTCTGTTCTCTCTCTTACAAGGACCACATGCTTATCTTTTCCACTTTAGGTTTCATGTTTTATCCTCCCCAACGCCTTTTATTCCTTCTCTCCAATACTTCAGGCTTTGTTTGACTGTCTTTGACTCTTGTTCGTTCTCATTAACCTGTGCCTGCCCAGGCAGTGACTCCTGCTGGGGACTGATCCACTCCAAATTACTGCAGGTCTTTCATCCTTTCAGGCTCACTGGTGGCTCAGGTTTATGCTGCAGGAATCGATGAGATTACAGCATGAAGCCATCAAAAATCTGTGAATGTGGCTGGTCCGGGTGAACCAGCAAGCACCTGGGAGTGGAGAGGTGACCAAACCGGGAACCAAGCTGCAGAAACTCATCTCGGGCCAGCACAGATGCCACTTCTGCAACGAGGAGAAAGAAGAAGAGAAGACAGAGAGCAAATGCATTTAGAACAAACACCTGCTCATAACTGCAGGCAGGGTGCTTCCAGGCACTCCTTCCCGCTGCCAGGGCTGCAGTGCCAGCCATCCCTGTTGCTTTTTCAGCCTAACCCTCGGAGTGACTGGGGCTTTCTGACTGCTGCTTGTTTTTTTTTATTTTTTTTAATTTTTTTTTTATTTATTTTATTTATTTTTTTTATTTCTATATATTAAGCACAGCAGAAGGCAGATGGGAGGTTCATCTTTTTGGTAATCGCCAGTTTCAAATCTCCTTTTACTTTCAAGTTCTTCTGTAACTGCCCGTTTCAGGGTAGCGGAGGCTGCAGGATTTCTTGTCGCTTCTCCAAAGACTTGATTATCGGATTTACCACTTCATTTTTGAACAAAACCTGTTTGTAATAGATCAGGGCTGTACTTGCTGGGAAATTCGTAGCAGCAGACCTCCTTGCCCTATCAGTTATCCCAGTGCTTGAGCCACAAGAAGGTTTCTGATAGCTCTTGGAGAACATAAAGCCTTTTTCAGGGGCTTGCTGGAATTTTGCATGTCCCTCCTGTTTGTGATGAGCACACACACTCATCGTGACCTGCAGCTCTGGCTTATGAAGGCTGGAGGTGTGAAATCAGCTGAAGTGTGACATTTATTAGGAAAAGGAAGAAGAGGAGTTCTAGTTGAGATTCCCCCTGCCCCAAGTTATTTGACATTGTTAAATATTTCAGAATCACAGCAGTGGCAGCCTGCAGTAGGTTAAGTGATGCTTAAAGTGTACGGGGATATACCAGAGCTGAAGTTTAAAACAATTAGAAGAGAGTTCTTTACACAGCAAGAGTGAGCTGGAGCTAAACGCTGGAGGAGATGCTGGAGGCAGCAACGAGAGGCTTGAGGAGGGGTTAGATAAACTCCAGGCCAACACTTCCGCAAACAGGCACCAAAAACCAGGCAGGGTTTTACTCTCTGAAATCCTTAATCCATTAAATAGGTTTTGAGTTCTGTTTTGACGAGCTCCGGCAGCGTGAAAGTGCCGTCACGGGAGCCTCACGTGCCGCCGCTGCTGTGTTTTTGCAGAGGAGGACTGCAAGAAGTACTTGAAGAGGAAGCAGCAGCAAGCCGAGCAGCCGCTGCAGGTGCCAGCCGTCGACAGCAGCGTGCCGAAAACGTCGGAGCTGATGGGCATCACCACCAGGGACGATCCGTACGGTGAGTGCCCGCACAATGCCTCGCGTAGAAATCACCTCCAGCTGCCCAGCACAGCCCTGCGGGACGCACAGAAAAGCAAAAAGGCTGGTCTGAGTTTGGGTTGCCACCTCTGCTGTTATCGTTGTCCCCACCAAACGTCCACAGAGCAGTAAACACGGGGCTTGTGCACAGCGGCTTTGCCTGCCTTGACCCACGGCAGCTCTGTTTCCCTCCCCTCCTGGCAGCCAAACTGCCCTTCTGCTTGGCTGGGCGCTGCTTGGGCTGCATCTGCCTGCCGGCTTGCTGCTTCTCTCCTCAGCTTTCGGGGCCTGACCTACTTCTCACTCTCGCAGGCTTCGACTGGCATAAAAACTTTATGATACGTGCAGTGAAACTGGCACGGGAATAAAATAACGCAGTGGAAAACTATCCGGCCATATTGAGGTGCTTAATTCCGAGAGACGTGGCCCTTAAAATTAAGAGCTTTAACGTTGGTATGAGTGCTAAATAAATGAGAGCTGCCAGAAGTGAATGTTCGCTGCAGGAGTTCATTTGGAGAAGATGACAGCTAAAATTGTCATGGTTTCAGGGAACGGAACGGAGCTGTTTGATGCCTTCATCTGCTACTGTCAGAAAGACCTCCAGTTTGTCCAGGAGATGATCAGGGAGCTGGAACAAACAGAGTTCAAGCTGAAGCTCTGTGTCTTTGACCGGGACGTCTTGCCAGGAACGTGCGTGTGGTCCATCAGCGGAGAGCTTATAGAAAGGAGGTGAGCAGAGGGGTCAGCTCGGTGTGGTTTTACCGCGATGTCTGCAGCATGGGGAAATGCTGACCTTCGGAGCTCTTTTGCTCCCTCAGTCCTGCCAGATTTAGCTCTGTGCAGAATCCCAAGGCAGGAGTTTGCACACAGCAAAGCCTTCCCTAAAGAGCCTAACACGCAGTTTGCAACCAGGCTCCTCAAACGAATGGAAGCAGGAAACTGGTGAATAAAGCTCAAATTTATTACGCGAGGTGAATTCAGTCATATAACAGAGCTCTGTCCAGTTAATTCTCACACTAACGATGCTCAGTCATTAAGGGGAGCATGCGAGCAGATAATTAAGATGGCGTTTTTATAATGGATAAAGAGAGGACCAAATAAAGATTGCACAGACAATCTGGACTTTGCTATTTCATCTTGTAGTGGTTCAGTGTATCTGTAATGAAATTTTTGTGTGTAGTGTAGCTGTCTGTCTGTCTGTCTGTAGTCTGTACCCTGTGCTTAATGCCTGCTGGAACACAGCTCCTGGGCTCATTTCTCCATCAGAGCAATTTGGAGGCATTTGTAGTTTTACCAGTGATGGTGAGAATTGTCTCCGCTGACTTTTTATTTTTTCTTCTCCCTTGACTGCTTCGGTTCCAGGTGTCGGAGGATGGTGGTCGTCATTTCAGACGATTACCTGGAAAGCGACGAATGCGACTTTCAGACCAAATTTGCTCTTAGCCTTTCCCCAGGTAAGATCTCCCAACCATCCCACTTAAAATTGCCTCTCCACATCATAACTTGTACTACGGTCACATCTGAAGCTCCGGCTGAGATCAGCGCCTTACTCGTGGGCACTGCACAAATGCAGAATGAGGTGTGGTCCTAGATGTGATTAAACAGGTGAGATAAATACAGGTGAGAGAGGAGAAAATGATTAATCAACAGCTACAGAAGCAGTGACTGCCTCAGACCCAGACTCTTTCCACCGACCAATGTTTCACACGTGTAAAAGTCACAGGGACTGCCCTGGGGCTGCCGTTCCCTGAGCAAACAGATTTATCAGCGCCAGAAGCAGACACTGAAGCTAACAGTGGTTTTACACGTTTATAAGTTTTCAGCTTTGATGGGAAAAAATCTGTTCCGTGTTTTTGTTGGAAAAAAAAATGGAAAGCATCCGTTTGTTGCTGTCGGGTCTGTTCACGTTGCTTCTCTCGAAGCAGCGCTCGGCCTACGCTTGTCCCTGCTCCTGGGGAGGAGGAGCTTGAGCAATATCTGTGGGAGTGCCCACATACCGAGCCTCGTTTCTAGGTGAGGGATTTGGCGTGGCATTAGGACATGCCAGAAGTTAAATCAGAAGCGGGTGGCAGAGCTGGGAGTCGGCTGCACCTTCCTTGACGCAATAATTCCTGTCGTGGCCCTTAATCCACTGAGCATCCCAAGCGCACTGCATCGGCCCCTAACCAGGAGGATTTGCAGCAAAGAGCTTTCAGTTCTGGCCTTAACGTCTGCAGTTAGACCAGCAGGAAAAGGGAAAAAAATACCCATGTGAATGTAAAACCTGAGCTCTGCCTGTAAAAACAGGCGTGTGAGTACAGGCTTGCAGAAGGAACACGACTCGCTTACAATTTCACCCCAGTGATGAACTGGGTGGCTTCACACAGCACCGAAGCACCTCCTGCAGTTCCCAGATCTTGTCCTTGCCTCGTGCTGGTGGCAGGTGTCCCTGTGGGAAGCTGTGAGGGGAGAGCTTCCTCTCCAGAGCTCCTTCGAGCAGCATTTGTCACAGGGATGGTTGTCTGATTGTGTGTGCGCCCCCAAAAAGCAGCTCCTGTTATCAGGGATCCCTCGCAGCCCTTCTCTGTGGCCTCTCTGAGGGATTCAGGGCAGGAAGAGAAAGACCTGGAGATAACCCAGCAGAGCTGACCATCTAGGAGAAGCTGAGTGTCTTGATTTTATCTCCAAGCACATCTGGAAGTACTCAGCACTGCACTCCTGGTTGCTTTTGACAAGAAACTGCGCTGTGTTCCTCTGGATCTGCAGTTTGTTAAGGCCCAAACCATTCTGTGACTCCGTGATCTGAGCAGGTCTCTGTGTAACGCTCTCCCTGTGCTCACCTTTCAGGCGCTCGTCTCAAGCGGCTGATTCCCGTGAAGTGCAAAGCCATGAAGAACGAGTTCCCGAGTATCCTGCGGTTCATCACAATCTGTGATTACACCAATCCTTGCACCAAAAAATGGTTCTGGACAAGACTGGCCAAATCCCTCATGCTGCCATGACGCGAAGCTACGAGTTCCAGCTGCTCTTTTTTTAATTTTTCCTGACTTTGCCTTCGGGACCACGGTGTCGCTTGCACGGTGCCTTTTACCACTGCAGAACTTGGAGCCTCACCATCAGTGCTTGGAGCCGGCGACTGGGAGCAAAGAATTTTTTCTTCTGCTTTTTCTTAACCTGTACGGGGAGATAAAGGAACTGCCCGGGTGTTCCTCTTCGGGTCAGTGAGCAACAGCACCCGGCATTTCGTGTAGTAAGAACTTCTACTGGAGATAGAGGAAATACACATTTAAAAACTGAGTCACTAACATGAGAAGGCCAATTATAAGCATTTAGTGAAACCTGGGAACATAAAATGCTGGTGTAAGATAGGAAATGCCTCAAACTGCAGGCTTTTGTAAACAAAATTGTCGTGCTATTTTAAAAGCTCTCTAAGGGCTGCAGTGACGTTTAGGGTTGGTTTCTTTTTAACACGTCAGTGAAATCCCACGGCTGCTCGGTGATCTGCAGGAGGGGAGGCTTCGGACTCCAGTTCCCAGTTTGGGAATGGCCAGCACCAGCAGAACGACCAATTGTGACACCAAAATCAGCCACGTCTTCTGGTCTGGTTTTTCACCTCAATTCTTAGCAATATCAGGAAAATCGGAGCTGTTATCCTTGCAATTTGAACTGATGCAGAATCACTGAACTCGGCTTTATTTTCCGCGGATGTTTCCATCCTTCGGCTCTCTCACAGGATTCCCGTTCCGTGTTCATTTACAGCGTGAATCCCTTGGCACCAGCGCTTCCTGAGGTAGTTCCTCAGGTTTGACAGAAGTGATTTTTTTTGCTTATTGAAGCGAGAAGTGCGAGGAAGGACGCGCTCTGGCAGCGTGTCTGCCCGTGTTCAGGTGACATCTGATTAAGTAGCTTGTCTTACACCAGGATTTTATACTCCCAGGCCTTGTTAAACATTTACAACAGACACTTGTTATTAGAGAATCAGTCTTTAAACCTGTATTTTCAGGGGGAGGCCTTGCCACACAAAGTGCAGGGTGCTTTTGCTCACTGATTTGAAGAGGAACAGAGCTGGGCACCTCCGTGGGTCCGGCTCTTAAACTGTGTGACCTTTAAGAGCCTGCCAGAAGTACATCAGCTTTTGGGATGCCTCAAAGGCACGGGGATAAATATCAAATAAAAAGTGTACTGAATTATAGATGGGGCTGTTTAAATTATAAAAGATAATGTGCCCTTAATAGGAAAGAGCATGTTTGAATTAACCAGCAGAGTCACTGATGTGTGGGCAAGAATTCTGCCCCAAGCAGTGCTTTCAAGTGACCTGTTGCTCTATTAAACAGCTTTTCAGTAAATATTTACCCACTAATTGGGAAGAGGGGAAGCTTGCTCGTGTATCTGCAGTTGTCTGAACTCTGCCTCTTTGTTCCTCACTTCAGCCCCTGCCTCCTGTTGATTTTACAGCTTAATGGTTTACTAGTTTACATTTTTAAGGTGGATGTGAGTTTTTAAAGATGTTTTAAAGCATTACCAGGGCTGAGTTCCTCAGGCAGGAATGTGCACATTTCGTTTCCTCACCCACGCCAAAAATGAATGCTTACTCACCTGGGGCTGCTGCTCCCTCCTGGCTGAGAGCACTCAGGCCTTGATTTGAGCACAGCAACGCTTGGTGACACGTTTTATGCCAGCATCAGGGCAGTTTGGGACTGCAAACTGGGTGTTTTTCACTCCTTTCTACAAACACAACTGCTGCCACGGTGCCAAGGTGACATTTGCATCTTCCTGTCTCCAATAAGAAGCCCCCTGGGCACGGGAGGAGAAAAGTTGAGCTGATGATGGGTTTCTAAATAGTTCCTCTTCGTGTCCTATCGCCCTCGGGCCTCTCCTGCAGAAACAGCCAGCTGCTTGCCTCGGGGCTTCTGCATAATCGTTAAATGTTAATTATGGACGAGTTTCTGGAGGCTGCTTGATCCCCGGCCGCTCCTGGGGCTTGGTGAATTCCCATACTCCAGAATGCCTCTCAACATTAATTACGGGTCATTACTCACAGGACTGAACCAGATTCCTCTCGAATTGAGGGCTGAAAGAACTCGTCCGGTGTCTTATTAGGGGCAGGAACAAAAGCAGGAGGCTCTGGTCCAGACGCTAGAGGGAGGTAAAGGTCCGTGCTGCCAGCTCTGAGCTGTGCTGTGAGCTGGAGGGAGCAGCTTGCTCACTCCATGGAGGAGAAACGGGCACTGATTGCTCCCTGCCATGGCCTGAGTGAGTCCTGGGTGAAGATGGGGAGTGTCCGGGGCTTTTTTCCTTTGCCTCTCACAGCCTATTTTAAGGGAACTACACCTAAAATAGGTGGATGGAGGCAGATTCAGCCCTTCTGCGTGGGTCCTGATGCTGCGCTTTGGGGCTGGGGATGTTGCAAAGCGAAGCAGTAGCCCTAGGATGTAAAATAGGTGGTTTAAATGTCAGTCCTTTCCGAGTAAAACCCAACGTATGCACTTGTGACATTTCTACATCTGTCTTGGCACGCTGACTTTATGCAGGGTGACACCTGTGGGTGACAAAATGCTCTTACTGTCAACGCAGCTCCGTGGCAGCACGGTTCCCTTCTCCCCTCTTCGGTGCTTATTGGAAGGTCACCGTTCTGAAAACCTGGAAAAAAGAGATTTAAAAATGATGATTTTTTAAAAATTGTGTTCATTTCCCTCCCTGAAACTGTCCTTGTTGAATCTGTTAATACCAAATCGTTTATTTTTATACGTACACAGATGTGTTTATATTTCTATTCTGATATGCATTTTAGAAAAGCGTTTGTGTTGTACAGGCATTCTGAAAATAGCCACCACCTCTGTGGTTTTTCCTCCTTGCCAGCAAACTTTTGCTACCTCTGAGAAAACATTGTAAAATAAAGCAGAAAACCCCCATGGGCCAAGCGTCCTCCTTCCTGGGCGTCGGAAAAATATATCCTGGGTCTCAGAAGGAAGCGTTAGTGGTGAATAATACGGGCTGGTTCTTTTTTCTTTTCTTGTTTTGCCTAAAAAAGCTTCCTCAGTGAAGGCTTGGAATGGGGAGAGGTGTCGTTGTGTTGCACCAGCAAGAAAATTACCAAGAAATTACTTCAGAGACGTGTGGTTCCTCTCCTTTGCAGCACCCACCTGTGCCTCACGGTCCCTAACAGCATCCCTTTCAATGTGATGTTGTGGCACTCAGTGATCTGGGTGATTTTTGCCTGTATTTAAGTGTAAAACTAGCTCAGAGCCCGGTGGGGTCAGGGCTGTGGTGGCTCCTTTCCCTCTGCCATTTTTCCTGTGCCAGAAGGAACTTCAATTTCATTCCCTTTTGCAGCTGGGAGGCAGGAATGTCGGCACCATCCCCTCTTTTTCTGGAGGACAGCGTTCACCTGGTGACGTTGGGTAAGGCGCAAAATGCTCCGAGCTTCGGGGCCGGAGGGTGGTGGATAAAGCACTGCCCCGATGGAGCAACAAACTCCCCTCTGCAACTGCTCCTGGTTCAGCTGATGCAAGGCGCCGTTCCCAAATCCTGCTCCTGCCCACAGAGCTGGGGCTGTCCCTGCCCTCCGGACACGGTTTGGTGCAGCTTCTCCTTCCAAACTTCTTCCTGGCACACCTGGGGGGTTAAGAACACGGGTGGCAGAAGGCTGGGAGCGTAGAAGCACCGGGAGAAATGTGCCAGGGTTTCCTCGACTGCCAAGCACACAAATTGGCCCGGGCCGGACAGATTTTGCTCTGCTCGCAGCCCGAGCGTGCAGTCACGTGAAGGAGGAAAAAAGGAATGAGGCAGGCTGGCTGCCAGCCTGCAGGGGGAAAAGGTCAGTGGGTTTTGCTGCTGGCTTCACCTGCGCTGAGAGCAGAGGGGCCCACAGGCCAGGAGGTGCAGGAGCCAGGGGAGAAGAACCCCCAGTAGGAATGTGAGGGCTCCACGGTACGAACCCGATGGGGTTTGTTGAGGAAATCAACCCTACAGGGTGATAAAAAGGGTCTTTATCCACCCTTTAGGGTGAAAAGTATGGACTTAGAGGGAATATGTTTGGACCCATGTGGTCATTCTGACAAAGTGAACTTTCACAAACTTTTTTTTTTTTTCAGCGTTTTTTTGGCTCCGATCTGCGGCCACGCTTGCCTTCTGTCAGTGTCAGCAGAACGGATTTCGGAGCCGCACGTCCTGAGGTGCTTAACTGCTCGCCTGCCAGCCTGTGAGCCGTCACCTCGGGAGGAAAAAATGCAATTCAGATGGGAAAAGTGGGTAAATGAACCTGAAAATCCACGTGTTGGTCCCTGTGCTGCCCGAGCCATGGTGAGCCACGAGGGCTGCTTTGGAGCAACATTTGCAGAAATGTTTGGAAATCTGCTGGAAATTTGAGGACTAAAATGGACGTTGGCCTTAAAACGTCAGTGCCTCAGCATCTCCAAACCTCACAAGGGTATTAAAAAAAAACAAATAATGATACTGAAAACACAATTTTTTTCAGTATCATTAATGGGCTTTTGAGATCTTTCGAAAGAAAGGCAAAGAAGAGAAATATCACGGTTTTTCCTCCAAAGCTATTTCCCCTAAAAACAAATATCCCCTGTTTTTCCTAACAGTTATTCTTTAGCCTCCTTGGTGACTTAACCTCTCCTAGCACAGCGTCTGGCATCTGGCTCGCTGCATTGTTTTATCGAGCGCTGGGAATGGAAGCTTTTAAGATCTCCTCTCCGAGCTCTCAGAAATCTGCCCTCATCAGCATGCGGCTCTTGGCAGGCGGCTTTTCCTTCAGCTCCAAGACATGCATGTTGATCAGTCATCTCCCTTTGTTACCTAGCATCTTGTCATCGATTTTAATTGTCGGGTATTGAAGAGGAAGCATTCAGCACACGTCGAACCGCCGGCTACGAAATCTTGCTTTCTGCACCTCGCGCCAGACGGTGCGCGCAGTTAAACCCTCCGGAGCCGGGGATCTCTCTCCCTCCCTCTCCCAGCAATCTGCACAAATTATGCAGCAGTCGATTTTTTTCCTATTAAATCTATTTCTGATCCTCTGTGACAGCTTTCCCTGCCGCCTGATTTCACACTTCAGCAGTTTGTTTCTGTGGTGCCATGCGTTTTTTTTTTCCCAAAGGGGTGGGGATGGAGTGCACGTAACTCACAGACACCTCACAGACACCTTGCTTGTGCCTCCCCAGTTCCCTTCTCCTACTTAAATGATTTGTACGGCTTCAGGTGACTGCAAATGAAAGGACTCCTAGCAAGCCTCCTTCTCCATTTCTCTGTTCTCCGGGGAGCTTTGAGTGCTTCCCTCATTACCGAGACATCCAGATGCTCAAGGCGTCAACTCCCAGATTCTCAGGGATCCAAAGAGACCTCAGCAAGAATAGGCAACCGCAAAACAGCCTCGGATTTTAGAGCTCACCTGATGCTTCTTCTGTGGCTCTTCTCTGGCTCCTTGTCAGTCCTGAGTTGCTCCCTGAAACTTCCTCTCCTGCTGGTAAAATGGAGACAAAAGCACAACTTGAGCCTATGTCTGATGGCAAGGTGAATTTTCACCTCCCCATGATGCAAAATATCAAAGCAGGGAGCTGGTGGGATCCATCAACTCTTCTCCTTCCTGCAAAATACCTCCTTATACTTCGATAGTTCCCATCTTTTTAAAACACCCCTGCGCTCGCAGGGAGCTTTCACTGTAAATATTTCCTCCTAGTCAAGGTTTTCCTTGACTTGGGCTACACAAAAAGCCAGCCTATTTTTGGCAGCCCGCAGTCAGTGACATAGGAATCCATGAGTAGGGAGGAAAGGATGCGAACCATCCAAACAGATTTATTTTCTTTCTTTTTTTTTCTTTTTCAAACGAGATCTCTTTACATTCCTATCGACACAGTAATAAGCTGTGAGTCACCGTTACACTGAACTCTTAAACTGTGATTGCAAACTCATGGCATTAGGATCTGTTCATGTGAACCACTAACCTCGCCTGGCCTCGGCGTAGCTGGATTCAGGGAGGTATTTGTAAGATATCTTCCCTTACACTTCTCATTCCCAGATGGCAAAAAATAAATGAAATCTTATTCAGCCCGATCTTTTCTATTTCTAAGGTTTCCCTTCTCACTGCCTTTTAAAGTGAATTCTTCGTGCTTCCCTGTAGCGCCACAAAAGATGTTTTATTTTATTTCTTCAAAGTTTGCCAGCTG